AGAGAGAGAGAGAGAGAGAGAGAGAGAGAGAGAGAGAGAGAGAGAGACAGAGAGAGAGAGAGACAGAGAGAGAGAGACAGAGAGAGAGAGAGAGACAGAGAGAGAGAGAGACAGAGACAGAGAGAGAGATAGAGAGACAGAGACAAAGAGAGAGAGAGACAGAGACAGAGAGAGACAGAGACAAAGAGAGAGAGAGATAGAGAGACAGAGACAAAGAGAGAGAGAGACAGAGAGAGAGAGAGACAGACACAGAGAGAGGAGGAGACTAGTGGACCAAAGAGGAGGCAAAGGAGGACACACAAACAAGGTCAGAAAGGAGAACAGGGTTTGTTTGTAGTGGAGGACGAGAAGATCACCTAATCACCTTTTAAAATCACCTTTTGTCTTTTTTTCATTTTAAATGTAAAATATTTTCTTATTCGTCTGTTGAATTTATTTAAGAGACACTTAAAATGTAACTGCATGTTCTCTTCTTTCCACTTTTATCTTATTTATTTTAAATGTACGGCACTTTGAGACACACGTCTGTATGAAATGTGCTCCACAGATAAAGATTATTATTGTTATTATTATAAGAGATGAAGAAAGAAAAGAGACGTGTTGAGGGAAGGAGGAAGGTCAGACGGGGAGAGATGAGGTTTAGACGTGAAACTATTCAGAGAAAGAAAACAATAGAAGAAGAAAAAGGAGGAGAGTGTGTGTGTGTGTGTGTGTGAGGTACTGTGGAGTGTGACAATATGGGGAGAAAAAGGCAAAAATGTGCATTTTGATGTGTGTATATTCATCACTCCTTTCCCCTTGAATATAATGTATACAGTGTTATTTGATCAAGTGTGTGTGAACAAACTGCTGACTCCGCACAAAAACTTCACAAAGAACTGAACGTGTGACGCGCGCACACGCACGCACACACACACACACACACACACACACACACACTAAAGGAGGGCAGCAACGTATATCTTCTAGCCTGTCAATCAAACTCTTCTCCGCCTCTTCAACGATCCTGAACCAGATGGTTTCTCAAACACTGTTCTCATGAATCAAGCTATTGATTCTCATGTTTCTATGAGACGTGTAGCTCCTCATATCAGACGTGTGTAACGTGTGCGTGTGTGTAACGTGTGTGTGTGTGTGTAACGTGTGTGTGTAACGTGTGTGTGTGTGTAACGTGTGTGTAACGTGTGTGTAACGTGTGTGTGAAACGTGTGTGTGTGTGTAACGTGTGTGTAACGTGTGTGTGTGTAACGTGTGTGTAACGTGTGTGTAACGTGTGTGTAACGTGTGTGTAACGTGTGTGT